AGAGTGGGGAGGGCAATATGCTGGCTCTCTGTAAACCGCTTAGAGAGGCCGGAAAGGCCTATGAAGCGGTATATAAGTCTACTGCTATTGCTATATGAACAAACCTGCTGAACTGGGGCTCAGGCGGGGCTGCTTTTCTCTCTCTGCCACAAATGCCCGGCATGAAAGCCTTCTCTGGCCTTGGCAGGAGAAGGCTGGGGTTTCTCAGCCAGGGCTTTGGACCCCCATGAGCTGCCCCTGTACAAGCCGCCTCCTGTGCAGAAGAAGGGGGACGCTGAGGAGTTTGGGTCAGGAGCATCATCGCCAAGAGGGTAGCAAGAAGTGTGTCCTGCTGAGCTGCAGGTGAGACTGGAAGGACCCCAGGAGGACTTGCAAGGGGGGCTGTGGGCTTCAGCCGTGGAAATCCTCTCTGCTTGTGCTGACGAGAGTGGTCCTGGCTTTCTCCAATAGAGCAGGCCTCCTACCAACTGGCCCTCAGTTATCCTTCGCCAAGGTCTTTAAAAAAAAGATGGAGTGCAAACAAACCTCCTCACCAAATTCAGTAGCTTCCCTGTTTTTATGGCAATGGCAGACTCCAAGCAGCCGGTGGTGGAAAAGGTCCAGCAGCTACCACAGGGGCCCTGGTGGGGAGGGGGGAACAGAAGGAGGAGAGGTGTGAGAAGACCCCCCTCGCCCAGCTTTTGGGCAAGGCTCCCAAAGGGCAGAGGGAAGCTTCCCCCCCCCCCATTCTTGAAGCCCTGTACAGATTGTGTAGGAGTGACCAAATTACCTGGTCCTTCACAGGGCTGACAAACTTTCCTTTCTTCCGCCAGTCGATGGACCTCGGGTAGGGCCCAGAGCTCCTAGGGAAGTTGCCCGTGGTAGCAGAGCAGTTCTGGAGGCAAGTGGGAAGTGGTCACTGGCCAGCCCATCTTGTTCTCCCTGTGTCTTAGAAGACCATGAAGGAGGGGGCACACTCTGGGGAAGCTCTGGAGGGGTCCCTGGCCACCACAGCCAGCCTGCTTCTCATGGGTGGGGCCAAAGAAAGGGTCGGGGACTCATTCCCTCACAACAGCCCTCTGTGCTGTAATCACCACCACCACCACCCCGTGATGTGGGCCAGCTGAGGCTTTGGTGTTTTGTGAGGCACATCTATATCTGAAGGAGAGAAACTAAAGGACTGGCTTCCCTCGTGCAGGACCTGCATTTGAGACAGAGGAAGAGGAAGGGCACTGAAAAGGGGCTGGCAGGGCTCTGATTCTGGTGAGAAGCCTTTCCTGTTGCTCTGACATTCAAGTGCTTTGCCCCCCCCCTTCCCTTTTAATGCTTACGCCAATTGTAGCTTTGGGGATGGTGAGATGCTGACCTCCAGCTCCTCCTTTCTCAACCATGGCAACCTTAAGCTGCCTGGACTCCAGGTCCCAGAATGCAGCTGCTAACCATACCGGCTGGGGAATTCTGGGAGTTGAAGCCTGCATGTCTTAAAGGTTTCCAAGGTCCAGAGTCTCCCCTCTAGCAGGGGGTGGGGGGTGGCTGGCTTGCAACCGGAGTTTTGTGCCCCTCCTGATCTTAGACGCCAAGGTGGCTTTACCTGAGGTTCGTGCCAGAGATACTGCTTCCTGAATTCAGGGAAGGTCATATCTGAGAACTGGTTCAAGCCCACTGAGGAGAGAAACGGAGGGGGGGGCGGTCAGGAGGGGCTCTCACTCCCATTTTTCTCAGCCGCCAAAGGGAAGCGGGGGGGGGGCAGCAGCGCCCCTACTTCGGAAGCTGGAGTTGCCTGCATTGTGCTTGTCGATCTTCTGCTTGTTGTCCAGGAAGATCCGCAGCCGGTGCCGGAACTCCTCCTGGGAGCGGTACTCCCGCCGGTGCTGCAGCGCCAAAGAGAAAGCGAGGCGAGGCTTCGGCGGCCGCGAGCAGGAAGGGAGTTCCCGGACGCGCCTCCAGCCTGGAATTCCCCCGGACGCCCCCCGTGCCTAGGCCCGGCTAGGAAGGCCGGGGGGGGGGGGGGGGGGGGGGGCCCCCCGGGCCCCT